CCAAGATTAACCTGAAAATTACCAAAGTCACTTGCTAAATGCCAAACCTACCAAATAGTATTATAGTGCTAAAAAAATAAGAAAATTTGGACTATGATTTACAAGAGGCTAGAGGTAAATGTGGCTTTACTCTAGAAGCCCCACAAATAGTTAGACATTGCAAAACTCATGTATTCAGCCTATGCTTCTTGTAACTAGTACCTCGATCCTATTTTTATCACAGCAGGTACATTCTTAGAGTAAGAATGTTAGATTTGCATAACCATATGCCTGATGTACCACAATATATATATATACTAGCGTATGCCCGTGCCTGAAGGCACGGTATAAATAATATTGGTACACATTTTAAAATAAATCAATTAAACATAAATTATTAATATTGGTATCACATCCTTTACAAAAAAATCAGTTCAAAATGATAATAATTTCACTGTTATAGAAATCAATTATAATAAATCAATTTAAGATATCGTACAATGGCAGTTTGTTTAAGTTAAAATATAATTTATCAAATTCATTAGTAAAAGTTTAAATTAAAATATTAATTTGTATTTAAAATTTTTATTAAACTTTTTATTGAACTCATAGGCAGCTTAACCTTTAGGCCACTTGGCCTATTGTATAAGACCTACCAAATAATTTCAAGAAACTTTCTGATTGCCAAAAGTCCCAATCGTCTAAAGGCTTAGTAAGATAACCTCATTTTGACGTTTGGCCTTTATGCCTAAAATGTTCTTGGGCTGCTACTGGCTGAGAACTGGTACATGGCTACACATTTTAGAAGCTAGTTGTAATCAGTCTAGTAATGCTAAAGTTAACAATATAAAACTTAAAACAAAACAACTTTGAAAAAAATATGCAGAACACAGGTACTAACACAAAACTTAAAAGATCAAAAGTGAAGCAAAATTAAAAATACTCACTCATAAAGTTTACAGAAGAGAAGACAAAACTAATAAACCAACAAAATTACAAGATTGCCAAGTCCAACTGACCTCGTCCTGGTCCCAGTAAAGCCCCCAAGGCCTGAACCTGATAGTATATCTTTAAGAATACCGCTGATGCCAAGGAGTAGCAAAGTGTGATTTCGATCTGTCAGAATTCAATTTGAAGGAAAATTGTCAAAACTCAAAGAAAATTGACAGAGAACAATTGAAGATCGCAAGAACAATTATGTTGGATCTTACCTGGAGAGCAGAAGTGAAGCAACTGCAGAAATTTAGCTATTTACATTGGGTTTTTTTTTCTTCACAAAAGATTAACATGAATGCTCTAGAAACTGATTCAGAAACTGATTAAAGATACAATCTGTTCATACTCATTAAAGATACAATCTGCTTTATTATATAGATGTCCAGACACAAATAGATAAGCAAGAATTTCATCCCAAACCTTAAATTCAATCAACTAACTCCAAACATTCTGTAAGAGATTCACATTAACTAATATAGTCCATAAAAATGTAAATCCCTATACTGAACTCAATTTAAGCTGAAAATTGAATTGGAACTATTTTTCCATCAACCAATCCCCATTGAATAGAAAAGAAAATTCACAGCAACTATGACCCAAAAGATACCCATGAAATGCAGGCAGATTGGCAGCAAATAAAATTTTCAGCATCAAGGACTTGGAAAAGTGAAGATGCTCCATAATTTCAATTGCTGATGCATAATGGTGCGTTGATTATATTCATCACTTCAACTTTCTATTGCATATTAAAACTCATGCTTCATATGCTAAATGGTATATATAAAAATAATAAAAAAAAAAAAAAACTCTTAGCACAGATATCTGTCATTTAAAAAAATATTCAAATGCGTTTGGCATTCTGGCCTCAACCATTATTGGGACCAGTGTCAATCCAAAATCTGCAATAAAACTATAATATCAGTAGTCCCAATTTATTGTCACTGTCTATAGCACATTATATCTACCAAATAGTTCATTTAATTAATCCTGTTTCACTGATCGATGTCCAGACACAAAATAGATATGCAGAGTTCATCCAAGCCTTTAAATTTCAATCAATAACTCCAAACATTCGTATAAGAGATTCACATTTAACTAATATAGTCCATAAATGTAAATCTTCTATCTGAACTCAATTTACTAGGAAAATTGAATTAGACTATTTTTCCATCAACCAATCCCCCATTGATAGAAAGAAAATTTCACAAGAACTATGACCCAAAAGATACCCATGGAAATGCAGTAGATTGGCAGCAAATAAAATTTTCAGCATCAAGAGACTTCGAAAAGAGAAGATTGCTCACTGGAAGCATTATAAAAAAAATAAAAAATAAAAACCCGTAGAAGAACAAATGGAACACCTCTCAACCATTCAAACAAACACTTAATAAAATTAAATGAGTGGAAGAAATTATACAGAAAAACTTATAGATTTTTATTTACATAAACTTATAGTTGACAAACTTTATGTTTTTGTTTTTGTTTTGTATTTAACCTTTTTCTTCTCTATTAACATATCTGTCGTTTAAGGACAGATAACTATTATCAATGTATAGCATAAAATAGAAAACTATGTTTTAGTAAAATTTACCCAAATCGTATTATATCGTTTTCATCTATAAGTTTAGTAAAAAACATATAGAATTACCCAAAATCTTAATAAACTTATTTTTTTATACCTTTTTATTAAGTTTAGTGGAAAAAAAAAATTTCAAAATAGGGTGCTTCAACCAAGATCATCAATTTATTAATGAATGAAAATGAAGTACCAATTAGAAAATTTGAAATAGTTTTACAAACACACAAACCAAATCAATTTCAATTTAACCCATTGCCTAAAATGATCCCAGAACACAACAATAAGAAAAATTACATTCAAACAAACACTTATAAATTAAATGATGTGGAGAAAACTTATACAGAAAAACTTATAGATTTTATTTAGCTAAACTTATAGATTTGAGCAAACCTTATGTTTTTTTTTTATTAACTTTTTCTTCTCTATAACATAAAAATCTGGTAGTTTAAAGGACAAATAACTATAGATCAGTTATAGAATTAAATTAGAACTATGTTTTAGTAAATGTACCCAAATCTGATATATCGTTTTCATCTAATAAGTTTAGTAAAACATATAGATTTACCCAAATCTATAAGTTATTTTTTATAACCTTTTTTATAAGGTTTTAGTAAAAGAAAAAAATAAAAATAGGGTGGCTTCACCAGATCATCATTTATTATGAATTGAAAATGAAGTACAATTCAGAAAATGAAATAGTTTCACAACACACACCAAATCATAAACCAAAATGATCCAGGACACAACAAGTGATTAGCCAATTTCTGTTTTGTACCTGTAAACCTTTTTTTAACAGAAACCTTAATTATATGAGTGAAGAAAACTTTTTCCAACGCCCCCCCCCCCCCAAAAAAAAAAAAACAATGATCCCCAATTTGCAGAGTAGTTCTTGATCTTCCTATACAAATTTCTTGAAAAGGAGAGAGTTCAGGAAGTAAACCCAAATTGACATTACTAATGCATACCCATCTGGGTAATCAACACCCATTTACCCTAAAAATAAAGAAAAGATAGATCTTTTTGTGAGATGTTCAATTGAAAGCAAGAACAGAGTGATAGAAAAGAGGATAATCAGAAAATAAATCTGAAAATGAAAGGAGATAACTCAGAAAATACCGAAGAGGGAAAGCTGAAAATAAATCGTTTTGTTTCTTCTTTCTTCGCAAGCCTTTGAAGTCGAAATCTGAAATTAGGTACAAAACATGAGAACCAAGATGAGGCAAGCAAACGAATTTTTGTCTTGCATTTGCCGAATTAGTTTCAAATCTCTCCGAATCCCAAACAGTACCTACAATGGAGAGAGTTAAATTTCCAACCCCCCCCCCAAAAAAAAACATGATTCCCCCAATTGGCAGAGTATATAAATGAAGCAGTAAACAAATTGCTGAAGGGAGAGGGTGTTAGAAGTAAACCCAATTCTCTAGCCAATTATTTTTCTAGGTTTTCTTTCTTCAAAACCCCCTAAAAGAGAAAAGAGATCGGAGGAAAGAAGAATTGAAATCAAAGAGCGAGAAGGGAAGAGGGTAGAAAAAAGGGGAGAACTTACCTGCGATTGAAGAAGAAGACGGGAGGAGAGGGAACATGCACAATGCAGAGTATATAAATGAAGCAGTAAACAAAATTTCTGAAAGGAAAGAGTTTTAGAAGTAAACGCAAATTATTCTCTGCCATATATTTTTCTAGGTTTTCTTTTTTTTTTTTGTTTTTGGGGGGGGTTTGATGGGCGGAATGGGAAAAAAAAAAGTGGGAAGGAACGGGAATGGAGATAAAAAGGGGCGGTGAATGAAAATATTTTTTTTTTTCAGAAATAAAATTTAAATAACAAAATAATTTGTTAACTTTTCTTCTTTTTTTTTTTTGCGACGGGGGGTTTCGTCAGTCAAAAAAATTTATTTTTTGTTTAAAAATATTTATATTTTTTGTAAGTTAATGAATTTTTTTTAAAAAAAAAATCTTTTGTTAGTTACTGAGATGAAAATTTATTTGTTTCATTTTTATTTCAATGAAAAAAAATTTATTATTTTTTAATTGGTAGAAGTAGGGGTAATATTATTAATGAAAAAATATTTTTTTCACTAAAATAAAAGTAATGTTTCTGTGGTCAATGAAAATTGTTTTTCTACGGCCCTTTTTTTTATTATTAAAATCATGAACTAATTTTTTGTGGTAGAGGAGGAGGGAAGTGGCAGTAGGCGTGAAGGTGGTGAATAAGAGATGATGGGTGGTTGGTAATGGCGGCAGAAGAGTTATGGTGAGTTGGGGTGTGGTTAGAGTAGAATAAGTTGGCAAGGGTTGAATTGAGAGGGTAAGGTAGTACGTAGTGGTAGTAGTGGTAAGTGGTGGATAAGAGATGATGGTGGTTGGTAATGGCGGCAGCGAAGGAAGATTAGTGGCTGAAGTTGTTGGGTAGTGGTAGAGTAGATAAAGTGGCAGGGTGAGGAGAGTAATGGTAGTAGTAGCTGGCAGTAGTGGTAAAGGGGTGGTAAGAGATGATGGTTGGTGGTTGGTGGTGTGGTGGTGGAGCGAAGGGAGATTAGGTGGTGACAAGTTGTGTACTGGTAGAGTAGATGAAGTGGCAGATGGTGAAAGAGAGGTAATGGTAAGTAGTAGTGGTAGTGGTTGCCAATGTAGTAGATGGTAGTCGTAGAGGTGAAGTGGCGACAGTGTAGTAATGGTGGTAATGGAAAGCGTTTGCATAGTGGTGATGTTGGTTAAAGGAGATTGGGTGGTGAGGAGGAAAGAGCATTGAGTGAGAGACAGATAGGGATACGAGAGAGAGACAGACAGCGGACAGACAGAGACAGGAGTGATGAGAGAGAGAGAGAGACCAAAGTGTGCTAAAAGTGCATTTTCTTAGTAGGTGGGAGTAGATAATCGAGAGGGAGTTAGTAAATAGAGAAGACGGGGAAGGGAGAGAGTGAGCAACGCAACACAGTAGGAAAGAAGAGAGAGAGAGATGAGATGAGAGAGGAGAGGAGAGAGAGAGAGAGAGAGAAAGAGAGAGATGGGGGGACAAAAAGATAAAGAGATAGAGGTGGAGAGACAGAGAAAGAAAGAGAGATGAAGGAGAGAGACAGAGAGAGATAGAAGAAAGAGGAGAGATGAGCAAGAGAGACATAGAGAGAAGAGAGATGGAACGAGAGAGACAGAGAGAGAGGAAGAGAGAAGAGAGTTGAGCTGAGAGAGACAGGAGAGGATGAGAGATATGAAGAGAAAGAGAATGAGCGAAATAGATAGGGAGAGAAAGAATGAGAGAAAGAAGATAGATGAGTGAGAGATGAGAAGATGACAGATAGACAGAAGAACGAGTGATGAGTGGAGAGAGAGAAAGAAAGGAGAGAGGGAAAGGGATGAAAAAATGGTCGTGAAAAGATATAGGACAAAGAGAGATTAGAGAGAAAAAAAAGAACGAAAAGAGATAAACGAGGGAGAGACAGAGAGAAGATGAGTAAAAGAGATATAGAGAAAGAGAGGACAGAGAGAGAGATAGATGGGAAGATAGACAGAAAGAGAGTGACGAAGAGACACAGAGAGAAGAGGAGAGAGAGAGAAAGAGACAGACAGACAGACAGACAGAGAAGAGTGATGGTGAGAGAGAGAAAAATAAGAGAGACAGACATAGAGAGAAAGAGATAGACAGACAGACAGAGAAGAAGTGATGAGGTGAGAGAGAGAAAACATAAGAGGGATAAGGACACAGAGAGAAAGGAGAGAGACAGACAGAGAAGAGTGAATGACGTGAGAAGAGAGAGGAGATAGAGACAGAGAAATAGGAAGATGAAAAAATGGGTGAAAAGTTTCGTGTCTAAGCCTCATTCTTAGAAGTGGAGTCGTCTCTTATCATTCACGGGGTTATAATAGAGGGCGTGGCTGGATTTGGGGGGAATTGTATATTTTTATATAAAAATCAATTGAAATATTTTTTATTACAATCACACCTAATTTTAAGGGCTGGATTTGTGGTGGGTGGTGGTGGGTTGGCTTGGTGGGTTGGCGGGGGTTAAGTGGAGGGGGGAAATTTTGGTTTTTGGTTTAATCTTCCTCTCTTTTTT